TTATTGAACTTTTCCTTTTTTTTTATTTTATAATTTTTAACTTTTTTTAATCAGTTTTTTATTTTTGTTATTTTTTTTTAAATTATTATTTCTTATTATCTTTTACTTTTTTATGTTTATTTTTTTTTTACTTTTTGTCAATTTTTATTTTTTATTTATGTCATTTTTTTTAACTTAACTTTATTGCTATCACAGAGGAGCTAACAAGCCCCCCTGTGTGATAGCATTTAGAGGTGACAGGTTCTCTTTACTGAACGGACGTTCTCCGGCGCTCCACACCCCGCTCTTTGTCCTAAACTACCTTGCCGTAGTGCCAGGTCCCCCAGGAGAGCGGGGGACCCCAAAAACCACGGCGGTGAGGGAGGCGGCCAGCGGGGGGAGGTAGCCGGAGGTGGGGGCGGACCATGGAGGGAGGACAAGCGAGCATGCTAATTACAAGTGATCTCAGCATCCCCGAGCTGCAGCTTCCCCGCTCTACATTCAGCCCTGCCGCTTGCCCGAAGCAGGACTAAATGTCCCCGGCGTCAGGCGATAGGAATATTACACCCCTGCTGCCCCTCTACCCCCTGCTGCCCCTCTACCCCCTGCTGCCCCTCTACCCCGAGGCCGGGCCTTGGTGGCCTTGTGGGAAATCCGGCCCTGCCCAAACGGGTCCTCTGCTGAGTCCGATCAGATAGATATGTGACATTCGTGTCCGTTCAGATGTTATCTCTGTCTTGTGATTGGAGAAAAACAGACCCATGCGATCCCTATGGGCCGGGTGTAGGTGGACGCGCGTTCACCTATTCCGACCGCGTCCGGTCAGCAAAAGCTTCAGCGTTCAGTCCGATGCACCTGAACGGACTGGGACGTGGACCGATATTGCTGGACGCGCGGCCGCCGCTTATACCTGACCACCCATAGGGACACATTGCAGTAAGTTTTTGATCCGTGTCATCATAAGAGATGGAATATATCATAGTAAAGAATAGTTAAAGTGGACCTGTCATTAAAAGTCTCACTGCACACGAGTCAATGGGAGGAACATATCAGCATTACAACATCACACAAAAGGGAAATGATCCAAACTGGAGCCCACGGCAACCAATCAGCTTCTCTCGTCAGTTTGTTCAGTTAAGCTTTGGAAATGGAAGAGAGAAGCTGATTGGTTACTATGAGGAACTGCCCCGGAATCCGTCTGCTCCGGTTTTGATAAAATCCCCCCACAGTGCGCTGAGAATAGCGTCCAATCAGCTGCCGCCTTTCACCAGATTTGTGTTGCTTTGTCATTGAATAGTGAATTCTGATTGGCCAATGTGAGTAACAGTTTCTTTTCCTTGTTCAACAGACCCGACTGCTCCATAGACACAAAGACTCGAGATCAGAGGAAGACTTCCCCCATATACGGCTTTCCTTTCTACTTCTATTATTATAATGACATTTCACCCAACGCATCCAGGAACCGATCCGTCCTTATATATGAGACGACGGACAGGAGGAGCGACATCGTGATTTATAGACCCGCAATCTGCAGGAGGAACGCATGTGTGAGCGCAAAGTGTGTCAGGTGTGTGCGAGGAGCACAACTATCACACACACACACCTATCACGCACATATATATACACACCTATCACACACATATATACACACACCTATCACACACATATATATACACACCTATCACACACATATATACACACCTATCACACACATATATATACACACCTATCACACATATATATATATATACACACCTATCACACACATATATATACACACCTATCACACACACCTATCACACACATATATACACACACCTATCACACGCACATATATATACACACCTATCACACACATATATACACACCTATCACACACACATATACACACACCTATCACACACATATATACACACCTATCACACACACATATATATACACACCTATCACACATATATATATACACACCTATCACACGCACATATATATACACACCTATCACACATATATATATACACACCTATCACACGCACATATATATACACACCTATCACACACACATATATATACACACCTATCACACATATATATATACACACCTATCACACATATATATATACACACCTATCACACGCACATATATATACACACCTATCACACACATATATATACACACCTATCACACGCACATATATATACACACCTATCACACACATATATATACACACCTATCACACACACATATATATACACACCTATCACACACATATATATACACACCTATCACACGCACATATATACACACACCTATCACACACACATATATATACACACCTATCACACATATATATATACACACCTATCACACATATATATATACACACCTATCACACGCACATATATATACACACCTATCACACGCACATATATATACACACCTATCACACGCACATATATATACACACCTATCACACACATATATATACACACCTATCACACGCACATATATATACACACCTATCACACACATATATATATACACATCTATCACACACACACACACACACCTATCACACACACACACACACCTATCACACACACGTATATATACACAGACACAATCTTCTGCCCCCGGGGTTGTGTTGTCTTCACCTTGTATGAAATGTTCACATCTGGCTTTATATCTGACAAGTGTGCACAGCCGCTATACTCACCTCTGCTGCTCCCCGATCTCTGCGGCAGTCAGGGGTTCCAGTCCCCGAGGATCCTTCAGAATCCGACACTTCCGGGAAAGTCGAATCGCTGGTCCCCCTGCAGCATCCATTGGTTCAGTCCATTGGTCCTTATGTTACCACAGGACTCAATAACGACACAGGGGCCGTCGGATCGAACCACTGAGGACAGCAGGGGACCAGGAGATGAATACTCCTGGAATGTAAGGCTTCATGTCAGTGCACTTTTCTGTTCCTCAATGGAAGTCTGCGGAGACGGAGAACAATCGATTCCTCGTATTGTTTATGTAGTAAGAAGTCTCAGCGGGGTTGCGGTATACAACTCTCTATTTACAGAAAGGGCAATCAGCAAATCGTGACATGAAATGTGACAAATATAAATATGGGACAGCAAAGATGTAACAGTGACACAAAGGTTCATTTCGGGTACAATGCACAGCAGGGGCGGGACGGCTCGGGGTCCCCCGGCGATGGGAGAATGATGGCGTCCTCCATCTTCCCGCCTGGAACTTCTCTAAATATAGAACCCATAAAACGATTAGAGCGAATTCACACGGCGCGTTGTCAGCGGGATATCTGAGCCGTAAATTCCGCCGGCTGACACTTCCTCATTTCTACTGTCCGCTCCCACACCCCATAGTAACACCCGGACACCCCAAAAGTGACCCCCTCCCCCAACAATGTACAGGGCAGAGAGATCAATCAGATTATATTTCTCTACAGATGCAGTGGGGTCCCCCAGAAAGAGACACCCTCATATCCTCAGTATACAGGGGACCCCCAGAGACACCCTCAGTATACAGGGGACCCCCAGAAAGAGACACCCTCAGTATACAGGGGACCCCCAGAAAGAGACACCCTCATATCCTCAGTATACAGGGGACCCCCAGAGACACGCTCAGTATACAGGGGACCCCCAGAAAGAGACACCCTCATATCCTCAGTATACAGGGGACCCCCAGAGACACCCTCAGTATACAGGGGACCCCCAGAAAGAGACACCCTCATATCCTCAGTATACAGGGGACCCCCAGAGACACCCTCAGTATAAAGGGGACCCCCAGAAAGAGACACCCTCATATCCTCAGTATACAGGGGACCCCCAGAGACACCCTCA